GGTCCACATAATAGACCTATGTAATAGATGAATGCAGAAGACAAGACAATGTTTGCAGAGCTTGTTTTTTTGAGTCAGATACATGAGAACCTGGAAGTCCAACTTAATAGAGAAGTTAGCAACTTAGAGCTCTGTCTATATGGGATTAAAAAACCATACAGGCTTTCTTTGTGCTACAGCTCTCATCATGGTTATGAAGATATGGCAGTAATGCTCCAGACTCTCCCAGTGTAGATGTAGTTTATTATGGGAAGTAAAAGGTGTTCCTATATTTACTGCTAGAAATACGTGGGTTTTGTGATGTTTGAAGACACCTGAACAGGACAGAGTTTGTGTCATACAGTGTGACGGGGTTAGATTCCTGACTTTTATCTTATGAGGTTTTCAGAAAGTCTCAGCAGTGTTTTAAGACCCTTTGAAAACCTGTTCCCAGCTCCCTGGTTTCCAGTGGGGTGCCTGAGAGATCAGCCCATCTGTATCTTTGCTCCACCCCTCCATTTGGAGGCTGCCTGCCTGCTGCTCTTTAAGGTTTCTGTTTTTTAAATTAGCCCTGCAAACCCATGCTTAGCCTCTCATTTTGGGGAGGAGTATAAGTAGGAAGCAGCAAGAACTGCAAGCCAAGTTTGTCCTTATAGGAAGGTCCCATCCAACCAAGGGAGGGATCCCATCTAAGCGGGACCTATTTTGCAGGGTTTTTTCCTTCTCTGCTTGTACATCTTCCTTAAAATCTGAGAGGTTTAGCATCAGTGTTAAAAGGATGCTCTGCAAAGCCCAGATCTGGAATGTTCCATGGCAGAATCTTCGTGCCTGCCTCTCTTTCAATAAAATTAGAAAGTTAGACCTTTTGCCTCTATTTCAAAAGAGTTACTCAAGGAGACAGTGACTTTCCAAGTCCTCTCTGTCATGCCCATAAAACTGGGTGGTAGTCATCTTTGAGGAAAAAACGTTTCATACCCAGTTGCTCTTTTCTTGTGAGGCTCAGCAGCCATGGTGGTTCCCTTTGCAGAGGGTTCAGGAGTGTAGCTGGCACCCTAGAAAATGAAAAACGCTTGAGTCATTTGCAGAGTGGATCAGAATCCAGTCTACCCAGCTGCTGGAGCAAAAACCACAAACTTTCACATTAGAGTCATCTGCTGAAAAGCTACATGAAAGAACTAAATGTTTGGTTTAAAGAAGTTTTATTTGCTTTCTTGTAGCCAAGTCACCTGGCTCTTAGATGGTGAATGTATCAACAAGTTTTTCTTGTCATCTTTCTTTGTCTGCTGAACTACAGTGATCATAGATTGACCTTGCTTTCAGACATAAGAACAGTTGTTTGATTCAAGTGTCAATATCAATGTTTGTGTCTATAGAAACCAATCAACATTTCCTGTTAATTTTTGTAAATAGGCTGTTACTGTGACACTTAGATTTCCTGTCTCTTCTTTATCTGAATCAAAAATTCACTGCACACGGTGTTGTCTTGCCTTCTGTGTTACCTATCTATTGCCTCACTAATAGGCATCTTTATTCTAGTCTGCAGTTCTCATGTTGAGATATGTCCAGACATCACTGTAGCCTATAATCTTTCATTGGATTTTTACATGATGGATTTGTTTGAGGGACTTTCTCAGTAATAGCTGTAGGAAATCACAAGTAATGTAAGAAAAGCAGATTGAATTGCCTTCAATCAGCATTGCATAACATTCAGGATTTTTCCAGGATAACCTTTTAAAGTGACCTTTTTCAAAAAAAAAAAAAAAAGTAGTAGTGGTAGTTTAGCGTTGATTTTTCTTTCTTTTTACGTTTCAGCATGAATGATTCAGGTTCTCTTGAGAACAAGATACAAACCCCTGTATTTTATGTACCTTTTTTAAAAATAGGTCAGCTGTTTCATTTGAGTACCTGTGTAGCACCTTCACATTTGGGGGTGAATATTTGAAATTTGGCTGTAGAGTGCCCCAGTATTAGGGATTTGCCTTTTCATTTGCAGCAAAACTTGTCCATAATCAGTCAATATATAAACTCTGATATCTCTCATTTTATACCCACACAGCAGGAGCTCATTCAGTAGCATTGAGCATGCTGTATTTTAGAGCTGAAGAACTTGCTTTGATATTTCTATATCAGTCTCCTGAGGAGTGCTGTGGTCCTAGGCATATACGAGGCAAAAGAATGGAGATTGTCCTCCCATGTTTTCAGCAAAGGTGTTGTTTGCCCAGACAGGGTACAGCAGAAGGAAAGGATGGAGAGAGAACACAAGCTGTGGAGGATGTGCTCAGGAGAAGTTGTGAGGAACATGGCACTGTTTGAACCAGGGGGCAGCTAAGGCCAAAAGCACCAAGTGTGGGGACAGCATTTTGGAGCTGGCATGACTGTCAGGGGTGGATTGTGTGATGTCATTGGGATTAAGCTGAGGAACTAAGAGGAAGCTGGTGTAGAGTCTGAGGAGGGAAGCAGCAGAACTTAAGGCACATAAAAGGGAAATCTCTCTTCTGTACATTGGTATGGAGTTTGTGAGGCTGAATTTGGATGCTGCTTGTCCTGTCTGGTGTGAAGATACAGGATCATTTCACCTATGGTTGGTTGTTGTAGCCCAAGTGCTTGATGCAGCCTCATAGCCCTCCTGAGACAGCAGACTGACTCATGCAATCCTGCCCCTCTGTATCAGTGCAAAAACGCTGGTGTGAAAGTGCACAGTTTAGCTTAAACCACGGCTAAGTCTGTTCAAAGTGTCTGACTTCACACTTGAAGTGGATGAGGAGCGTTCATACAGTTTGTTCGAGCAGCTCAGTGGTGGAAAAGCAATCTCCATCGAGAGGATTCAACAAGTGTGTTGCTGGCAGCAGCACCTCGTGTGAATGCATCTCTTTCCACCTGCTCCCACACCTTAATCTTGCTGTCCCTGTGTTGTCAGCATGAATCTGTGATTGCAAACTGGCTGTCTTAATGCTACAGCTTTGGTTCACGTGAGATCCTTCAGTGATAGCTTGCACTCTTCCCTGTTCCTTCAATAGAAGATGTCTGTTTTTAAATAAAAGTTTCATTTAAAAGTCCTGATAATGATTTTGACCAGTGTAGGTGCCCTCTTTCGGGTCTGCCTCTGTCAGCACAAGCTTCCCACGTGCTCACTGCACCTCCCCTTGGAAAGGACCCTCTTTGGTGAGTGCTCCCCAGCTGGTTGGAGGCAAAACTGGGTTAGCATAAAAGAGCCTAAAGAGTAGTTTGTAGCTGCTCCAGTTTATTTTCACCATAATGGATTACAAAACGCTTTTACACCAGACTGCTAGCACTTCTGAAGGGAGACAGTCAGCACAGGAAGAGGGGCAGCTGGTGCTGAGCACATGTGTGGGAGGAAAATCTCATCAAGCAACATAGCTGGGTTTGGAAGGGACCTTTGTCCACAGTCTCAGTCTCTCTGAGTCTCAGTTCTGTCTCTGTGATGGGGGAAAAAACCCTCCTGGGGTGTTGTGAACATGTGCTAATTTTAGTAAATCAGGCAGTTAGGTAATATGGTGACAGCCAGAAAATAACCTAGAAGGAAATAGTTGTTCTGTCTTTAAAGCATAGCGTTTAGGGCCATTTTTAATACTGAGAATGAAGCAAACTGAGGATGACTTATTCAGTAATACTGAAAGCTATAGTAATAGCTTTACTATACCATGAATGGCACCATTTCCTGTGGAAAAAAACCCCGTGTGATCACAAAATTAAGAATAAAGATTAAATGTTACACAATTGGCCACATTTCTGGCATTTCCTTGCCTTTTAGCTGCTGGCTTAACATTTCTGACATGTCTGTATATGTTTGTATGTGTAATGAACTATTTGTGACCAAGCTCACAGTTGCTCATACTTTTTGTCCTAAGATGTTAAGCACTTTAAAGAGAGCTTAGAGGACACTGAAGCATCTTACACTCTTGCCATTATGTGTCTTTAAGCACATTTCTGTCTCCAAAAGTGCTTACCTTTGGTTCTTAAAGATGATTGCAACTTTAAGTGAAGGAGATGAGAGGGGGAAATGTTCTTCTAAATCTGATAGAAAATCACAGTTGGTCCTTTTTTGCCGATCTCCCTGATTAATAATTTCTCTGAATTTTTAAGTCCTTGCTTTGTAATAGGTGAGCGAGAGGTACAGAAAGCTAAAGTTATGAAACCACAGATATTGTCAGAAGGAAACAGACCCAGGGTAACTCTCATAATTAGGCTTAAATGATTTTGAGAATGACACTATCTGAAATTAATTTACTTGCACAGAATTGGGTGTCGTACTGTATAACAGAGGAAACTGGTACATTGATAAGTAAAAAATAAAGTTACAGAATACTGGTTGCTGAGTATGCATCACTCCAGCTGATTTCATTTGGACTTATGAGGGTTAACCGTGAAAATCAAACATGCAGAGTCGAAGGTGCAAAAATATAAGTCGATGTGAAAATATATTGGTCTTGGCAAGTTTGTTTGCCACAGAGTAAATGACATGTTAACTCCATGTGTAAGAGCAATCCCTGAGTAAGTGCCCCTGCTGAGGTCTCAGGCCAGGGTGCCTGGCTGTAAACAAGAGGTGGGTCACGGTCACACCCTGCCTGGAAGGAGCTGCCCCCCCTCGTGTCCTGAGGCTGCCCACGGGCACACGCCCTTCCCTGTGCCCGACTGCCGGGTTTGTCACAGCGCTCTGGCTTCACAAGGTCACTCTTCTGCAGTGTGGGTAGAATTAGAACAGCGATGGGAAATGGATTTGGCTCTTTTCTATCTTGAAGAGGTAAAAGATGTACCTTGTCCAGGCAGTGTGTTTTTTGAACAGCATTGAGGCTTTTGTTGCTGGGGCCAGGATGTTTAATAGTTTGACTTTGCTGCTGTTCTGTTTGTTTTATTCAGCCAGGGACATGTCATAGATCTATTTTTTGATCAGGCAGCATTCCTGTACTATAATAATTCACAAGCAGAGTTCACACACTAGTTGTGTGAAATGCCTGTTGATTACTTCTCTACATATGCTTCTTGCCCTTATCTTCCCTTAGGTACAGTTGACTCTGTGCAAGTTGTAAACTCCATGGAGCAGGTGTTTGTACAGTGCATAGCACAGCAGGACCCAGGTTTCATCGAGGTGTCTGGACATGCTCTTACGTAAGTAAGGGTACTCCGTCTTGTGAGCAATTAGAATAGTTCACATTAGCTGAACTTGTAGAGTTTCCTGTGTGCAGGCTGATGAGAAAAGGGATTTTTCTTGCCAGGCTGAGCGGGGCTTTGCAAACGTTCTCCAAATCACAGCGGCAGCTGGCTCTTTGGGCACTGGACAAAGACATGATTTTGAAATAGCTTCAAAATTTAGAGGTGGCTGTTCACATACTAATGCTCCCAGATGAGTTAAGTGGGGGAAGTTCACACCTCGTGTGGTGCTTTTGTTTCAGTCTGCCAAGCTGCAGACTCAGCTCGAGTGCAGCATGCAGGTTTTCATAGTGAGAGCTTTTGTCGATCCCAGAAGTGCTAGAAACTTAATTGCTTTCAAAGGCAAGCATGGAATCTGGAGGACCCGGTACAACCTGCTGAGAGAACATAAATCGTGAGATACTATCACGTTTCTGTGCTTGGGCTTGCGTGGAGTGAGTTTGCTTTGTGAGCGAATGCATTTGGAATACACTGGTGTTTTTTTTGTTGATTCTTAGACATAGCAGTAATTGTTGTTGGCTTTGTTAACAGGCATCTATGTTCTGTTCTGAAGTTACTGTTCATGTCTTCTATAAAGTGTGCAGACAAAAAATATTTGTTCTGTCTTGAAATCATGAAAGCGTTTCTGCATTTAAATGGATTGATAGCCTCGGTCCAGGTTATTCCCAGCCTGCATCCCTTCACATGGGTATGGGAAGAGACCTGGTCAGTTGTCACTGACCACTGCTGTTTTATCTTAAGTTATAGACAGCACTTGGAATGCCAGTGTTTACTTGTTCCTTCTTTTAACGCTCGTTTGCCAGCTACTTTTATCCCTAAACAAATGAACCATGATGGCAACTAAGAAACTGCATTTTGGAGATAAGGAATAGAATTTTCAAATGGCCTTATATAGTATGCTTCTCTAGGTTTTATTTTGCAAAGTAGTCCTTGTGAAAATTTGTGGAGTGGGTCCATCAGTTGGTATGGGAGGTTTTTGGCATTTTTATCCACAGCCCAGTTTTAAAGGTAGTTTTCCTTATCTCCTTAAATTATTAGCTGAGAGGCTCTCCATTCATAGGAATACTGTTTTGATATATTTTGCATGGAAACTGAAGTGGGAAAAGGTTTTAAGTAAGCCAACCAAATAATCTAGGGTCTTTTGATCAGTTTCCATTAATATTAAACCAGTAATCTGTCCTATTAGATATTAGAAAGGAAGCTCAGTGTTTAAAGAAGATAAACATGCCAGTTGACATTCAATATGTCTTCTCAAATCACCAGCAGAAACCTTGTTGAACCTTGTTGGCAGAGGTGCCTTCTGCAAGGGTTCCTAAAAACACCTCCCCAGCTCTTGGCTTAGTTTTTGAACTGGTCTGGCGCTGCAGTGAGTCTGGTGCCAGTGCTGAATGCTTGGTCTGGCTCCAGTTGGAGCTGAAGAAAGGCTGAGTTTTAAGACCTCTAGGATGCCTTCAGGTCCAGAAGAAACTGAGCACTGGAATAATGTATCATACAAACTGTGGTGTATTCCTAGAAATTAATGAATATGCTGTTTTAATTTGGGGCGTTTATATAGTTGAAGTTACTGAGATCTTAATGCTTAGAAGAGAGAGTTCTGCAGCTCTTTAAGATTGCCTGGCACACAAGCAAAGATCTAGATTGCTTTGAGCTGCTGACAGTTATCACAGCTTTGTGCAGACACACCTTTGCTGGTACTGACAAAACACAAATACCAGTTTCACATCACTGTACTCTCCTTGGCTGGTGTACATCTTAAAACAGCACTGTACCTTTACAACTTTAACAGAGAAAATGGAAAGAAGGGGTGAGCAGCTACAGTAGCCTCTTACCAAACAGTTGGTTTCAAATGCTCTGAGTAAAGACAGCGTTTTAAAACAAAACTTGATCTGCTGTTTAAAAACTGGACATTTAATGCATTATGTCGCTCTGATCCAGTCCACTCTGCTGAAGTCACACTGGATGCAAGAGCAGGCTTTGTTCTGTGAGGAGGAAGTAGAAGGTGAAGGAAAAATGTAATTTTCTTTCTGTAACACTGAGTTCTTCCAAACTTCATAGATAACTGAAAAGTCTGTTTCCAAAACATGTCTGACCCTATACGCAAATAAAACTTCTGTGATTTTGGCTTTTACTAGGAATCGTGTCCATGATGCATCTGTGTGACAAGGCATTGGTGTATTAGTACTACATGCTTCCTAAAGAAACTCCTTTGAAATCCAGGGTGAAAAGTGAAGAGACATTGAAAATCCTCCTAATCTATATCATAGACCACCATATATTTCGTGCAACTGTCAGTAGCAGCCTACCTGTTGATCAAAGTTTCATATAAAGAGTGTATTGACAGATGTAAATTTATTTAGTGTCCTAAGAACATAGATTGACATTGTGGTGGCTGTTGGCCACTTCTGTGAGCCCTTGCCTGCAGCTATGGAGTTAGAAATGAATAGACAGACTCTGGCTGGTAACATTGGTGTGGCAGTGTGGATATATTAACTTTACTAATTCGTTGTGAAAAGAAGTTTCACAATTTGACATTCCAATGGCAAAACTATCAATGTTCCCAGCTGCTGTTAGTGCTGGATTTACTCTCAGTACTTTTACCATCTGCTACGAAGGCATTGCAGACTACTAGAAGAGTGGGAGATTGCACTGGCTTTGGGAAGCTTTCAGCAGAGCTGAGCAGATTCTTTGATTTGCCACGATCAAACATCCTGATTGACAGAGCATAACTTGAGTTCCATTTCTGACTCAGTGACTGAAGTTTGTTGTGAATTCTTCTAATCATGTGGCATGCAACTTTCTTGAATTAAAAATTACAATGTCTGTGCTCCCCAGGTGCTGCAGAGGGGGCACAACAGCTGCGCTAACCAAAATCTCTGCTCTGGGTGCATGTTTACTGCCTTTATCTCTTCTGCTGGATGTTTCCCGTGCCCCTGCTCTTAAGGGCAGCAATACAGGCCTCACAGCAAGCACTCAGCATAACCAACACCTTTGTCAGCTGGAACATTTTCTCTGATTCTTTATTAGGTTTCTCTCACAATGTACAAGGTGCTGTGATGATTCGAGTTACTTTTTTTTGGCCCGTGACCTGTATTTCTACCATTGTAGGCTGTGAACAGTTTTGTCAGTTCTGGATTGCTTTGTGTCTCTCCTGGGATAGGTGATGGTCTCCTGTACCTTCATCAAGCACTAACCTCACAGGCATTACTTGGTAAATAATTCCAATGCAAGGTAAACTTGCCTTGCTGCTGTTAAAATTCTCAGTCTTCTGAAAAGCCAGTAGATGGGGTGTGTGCAATTCCTGTGCAAAGTCACTGTATTTCTCAACCCAAAGATCCAACTGTAGTTTCTACGTTTTTGTTGCAGAGACTGGTGGTGGTTGTTGTTGTTAGCAATGGCTTCCCACATGAATCACAAATTTAAGCAACCTTGAGAGGAAGCACCAAAAATTCTTGATTGATATTTTTGCGTTGAGTACTCTGAGCATGATCTACTGTGCACCTTCCAACAGTCTTAGGTCTTTGAAATCTGGGTATGAATTTTTATTGTAAATCCCCCCCCCATTATTTTAAAATTAAACTATTAATGAACTAGAAAAGTACTGGATAACTGAAAACAGATTGAGTTACCACAGATTTCTGCATAATTTGAGATTGCAGTATTAGCAATAGATGCCATTGGGACAGCTAAGAAATACATCATGTTTTGTGTCTCCAAGCCCAGCATGTTAGAGTAAACATCTATTTGCAGACATGATTCTGTTGATCATGGATGTGGAAATCAAATTTGCTAGCAAATTAAAATATTTTCCTCTTGTTATTAATGATCATGTAAATAATCATGTTAATACAAACCATGGAAAGGGTCACCAATCACATCCCAGAGTGGATTTCATGCCTATAGGTCAGTTATGGTAGACTTGATATAGGAAGGAATCTAAAACACAGGGCAAATGGCTTTGGGACAGATGAGTATCTGAGTTGTTCTGCTTAGAGGTCACAGCAGAGCAGAGCATGAACCAACATGGAAATAAGCTGGCCCAAGGTAATTTATGTAATTCAAAGTGAAACTGTCTAGAGATGGAGTTCTGTTAGGTAGGTCCTAGCTGCTTATACCTGGTTGGCAATGGAGAAACCTTCAAATAGCTTGGTAATAGTTAACCAAGGGAACTCCACAATCCTTGTCTGACTGGTATGAATGCAAGGTGGAAGTATCTTACAAAAAAATAAGTTAGAATTCGAATACTGTATTGAAACTATCTTATGAGAAGAAGTGTGAACACTTATGGCAAAGATGCACAGCTGAAATTCCCTGAGAGATATTTGGGAAGAAATGTTTTGCATATGCACGTACACTGCTCCAAGCTATTAATGCAATTATGGGAAGGTAGAAATCTTCAAATAGCAGAGTACATTCAATTAATTAAAAAGAAAAGTTTAATAGTGGAATATGACAGAGTCCTGAAGGCAGCGGTTTGTTTGTGCCTTTGATGAAAGGGGCAGATAACATAAACCTGTTACTTGTAACCCTGCCTTTCAGAAGAGAACCACCCGAGCTGTGTTTTAATCTGGTGTGGTAAAGTGTGCCCAAAATACTCTGAGTGTTTAACAGTTGTACAAATGATTCACTTTCCTAGCAGTCTGATTTTGTATTATAATCTGTTTCCCTTCTGTCTTTAACGTGCAGTTCTGCTGAGCCTGCAATTCACATTGGCTGCCTTGGGCAGACTGCAGGTCAGCTTTTGAATGTAAGAGAATTCATGAAATTTAAGTATTTTGTGTACAGTTAATGGCAGTTGTGCAAGTACAAAGACTTTGCTTTATCAGCAGATGTGGTCTAGGTTTACGTTTACGTCCACATTCAATCCTTACGTTATTGCAGTTGAGAGAAAAAAAATCAGGAGCTCGGTGCAGTCTTTAGCAATCTGCTTTGGTAGCTGGCCAGTCCACTTACCCTTGAGT